CCAGTGCTGGTTGTACTCTTTTAATGATCTCAGGGAGGAACATCTAGACCACCAGTTCATCCACTCAGCTGATGCAGCTGTTTATTTGAAATGATGGCCACCCTCCAGCCCCGTTTGTGTGGAGATAAAATCAGCTTTTTCACAGCAGCTGTGGTCAGTCACAGGCTTCGTTATTCCCTGAGCTTCGTGGGGACATCGCCTGGCCCATCTCCACTGGGCCTTCTTCCAGTGCACGGGTTTATTGGCCAGTCGCAGAAGACACGGGCAGAACAAATAAATGGGTCACTTGGTGTTTGGCTTCTTCATCTTGGTTTATGGGCTTATAACTCCTCACCGTGGTCTTGATGCTGTTACAGCTCACTTACTATGTCAGAAGTTAGGTTTCTGAACACCAGTTACCAAGCTGATGTGCAGCGTGTGGTAGCTAATGAAAGCAGGAAATTAGGAAAAGGGAAAGTCTGGTTCCTTAAGTTCAGAAGGAGAAGGTTGTCCCTTTTGTGAGTGTTCTGCTGAAAAGGATACTGTGAGTAGAACTGGTTTTAGCAATCCAATTTAACTAGGCTATTTTCAGGAGGAAGGGAAGAAAAATGAGGATCAAACTTAGTGATGAAGTTAACTGTAACCTCATTTTTTTCAGCACTCTCCTTCATTGCTCTTTGCATCCGTCTCTTGTTTTGTTCGAGGCATCAGACCACTTCCAGCAGTACGTACTACTTCAGTGGTATCCTGCTTCCTTGTCGTTCAGTTCATGTTACTATCCCATCTGCTTTTGCACTCTTCTCCCCCAAAAATTCTTGAGACACCTGACTGCCAGAAAAAACTGCTTCTAATTGCACCTGCACAGAAGGTGTCACAGAGCCCAGCACCAAAAGCAGCTTTTAAGGCAGTATACAAACAATGCATCATTGAATCATGTCTGCCATACATGTGTGAGGTGTTGTAGAGGCACGTAAAATGGGGAAGGGACTCGAGTCACAAAGGAAGCTGGAAGAGAGGTCAGGAGCTTGTTTTTTCTAACCTGGTGCTGACTTTTTTTTTGAGTTACTGTATCTTTCAAAACGTAGCAGTACAGCGGTTTTCACTTTAAAGGCAGCATGCTATGCACAGATTGCTATTTGTTTTATATATGTTTTATATATTACATATATAAAAATATATATGTAGTATTAAAAAGTGGCAGGTTAATATTGGGTATAAAATGTGGTTTATGTATGTTTCGGTGAACAACCTGCAGTTGCCATTGCATAAAATTTTGTAGAAAGTATAACTTCTGAGTTAAGTTAGGTGGTGCATTTTTTAACAATCAAGTGCACCTACTTTCTTGATTGAAAGAACTCTTACTTCTTTGGCCAATGGTAGAGGAACAAGTTAGTTTGCCTGTCTGATCCCTTCTTTCTTGATACTGCTTTCACTTGTGTTGACCTTGCCTGTCCTGTTGGACAGTTTGGGTGCATTGGCATCGTATAGTGTTTTCTTTTTTTCCTGTGAAATGTGAGATTCATTACGTTCTGTATTGGATCAATATAAAGTGTATGAACAATGCTGGCTTTGTCAATGAAATGTTCTCCCTGTACTCAAGCAGCTCTTCATGGGAGCTGTTGTTGAAAGGTTCAGACCAGTATGTTGTGCAAGCAGTCGTATTTGTGGTATATAACCTAATTGTTGCAAACTATGGAGTTTTTAATTTATTTCATGGTCTTGTGCTGTTAAGAGGCAGCCCTCCTTGAGTTATACATGTCTGATATCAGTGTTGGCGATAGTCAGTCTGCCTTCTCTATTGTTTGCTGAAGATGAAAAAAAGTTGTGTGCCGTTTGGCTACTTCCATTCTCCTCTTTTTCTCAGCTCTCATATTGTGAAATGATTCAGTACCATAGAATTGCAGTCATGACAATCATTACTTTCCGGATGAGATTTTTAAACGGAGTCTTTCCATCCTTAATAGTTTGGATTATTCATTTGAATTCTAAATATGGGCTTTTTTTTGCAGGGTAGTTTTTTTTGTTTGTGGTAACTCTTTGTTCACATTTCCTTACTTCCTTAAGGAAAGATACAGCAATACTTCCTAATAACTTTTTTTTTTTTTTCTATAGCCAAGGTCAGACAGCTACCCTACCTTTGCTAACCTTATTTTTTATCACAGTAGTAGCTGGAGGCACCACTCATGTATTACTTACTGCTGTTTGCACTGGGTTCACCGAAAGAGCACACTGAAACTGAAGAGTATCCCAAGCAGCATTCCTCTCTGTCTGATAACTTCACGTTGTCTAGTCTGATATTTCTGTTATGGTAATTATTATTTTTTTATTAGCATGTAGAAACTGACCTGATTCAAATTATGAAAGGATCATTTTGCATAGTGAAAGTTGCTACAACCTTTTTGTTATTAAAAAAGCAGCTCTTTTTTTGGAGAAGAGAGACCCTATGGTGAAAGCAAGGCAGGAGTAGCTTGCCCGGTGGATACCCTCATTTGGCAGGGGCTGGCAGGCCAGGCAGCAGCGTTGTGGTGAGGCTGGACATATTCATGCTGCTTCTTAGCTCATTTGGGATGTGCTAGGGGGCATGAAGAAGAGCTGAGCAGCTCTTAGCGTGGGAAGGATCAAAGACAAATCCACAGGAAGGCAGCTCCATCAGTTCCACTGTTCAGAGAACAAGTTGGTTTTCATTGAGATTTTTAAATTAACGGTGTCCTTTTACAGCTCCATGTGTATGAACATATAAGTCTGGTAATTAAAACCACAGCTGGTGATCATCTAATTACAGCGTGCAAAAGGGAATTATACTTACTTGACTACGCACCATTTTTTGTATTCAATTTAGAGAATTACAGCCATTTTTTCACGTGTGTTTTGAAAGCTGTGATGAAGGATGAAGGATCTGATGAACAAGCTGGTGAGCTTCATTGCAACACTTCTCTGTTAAGGGAAAAAGTGGCGACTTACAAGTTCACCAGCTTTCCTGAAGGTTGCAAGTCAGTTATGAACAGCTTGGTGCCATTAGGCTGGTTCTTGTTTCTCCACACTGTAAAACCAGTGCACGGTTTCCTGTGGTAGGAAGTAAAACCTTATTCCAAAGGCCAAGAATACTTGAATATCTGGGGAGCTTCTGGACCTAAGACAATTCAGAGCATGTATTTGAAAGGAACTGTATAGCATATGTCCATAGCAGGCCTGAACTGCTGTTTTTTTCACTTGAAAAATGAGGCTCAAGAATCTTAAACATACTGCAACGTAAAATTGCACATGTGTATGTTTATGCTGAAATGAACTGCATGTGTGTAACACATTTTTGAAGCTGGCACAATAAAAGTGCTTTAGACTGAACTGACAAATGAGCACATCCAGAGCTTTTAGTGTAAATAGTTACACCTCAATTAAAACTACAGAATTCACATCTGAGATTTTTGTGCAATCAAGTTTCCTGTACTGAAGCCAGAAGTGGCCTTTTCTGTAACAACAGGAACACCGCATGTGAAGGAGTTATCACTAAATGACCGAGTCTCTTTTCTGTATTACGACTACTTTCACACATCAGTGCATGAAAACACATACAGTTTTGCCAGCTTTTAGTATTGTGAAGGTAAACTGATACAAAAATGGGACTCATTAGCAGATTGGCTGGAAATGGAAGAAGAAAAATAACTTAAAGAGACCTGCCCAATAAAATGTCAGACTAAGTGGTAGAAAAAGGGTTTGTGTTTTGGTCCAAGTCTTTGCAGCAGAGCACTGTTTGCTGTGTTACTTGGTCCAGTGTGAAAGGTCACTTTAGTTTTCACACCCAGTATGACTTGGAGTTGTTCCTTTACTGCTACAAATAAAGGCTTCAGAGTTATTGGCTAGTTTTCCTCCTGGGCTTTTCTGTTGTGGTTGTCAATACAGAATGTTGGATTCCAGCTGCTACTTTTGCTGTAATAATGAAAGGGGTATATTGAGGATAAAAGAGAATGTGAATGCATTGTAATTGTTGGGTTTTTAATAAGGATTATTCTTGATTTCTAAGTTAGGTAGCTGACATAACTTAGTTATGTTGTTTATCTTAGTTTCCTATCTATTTCAAAATGCTGTCAGTTAAATGCAGAATCACAGAACCATGGTATATCCTGAGTAGGAGGGGACCCAGAAGGATCATTGAGTCCAGCTCCAGGCTCCACACACAACCACCCAAATATCAGGCCTTGTGTCTGAGAGCGTTGTCCAAACACTTCCTGAACTCCAGCAGGCTTGGTGCCATGCCCACTGCCCTGGGGAGCCTGTCCCAGTGCCCAACCACCCTCTGGGTGCAGACCCTTTCCCTAACCCCCAGCCTGACCCTCCCCTGTCCCAGCTCCATGCCATTCCCTCGGGTCCTGTCGCTGTCCCCAGAGAGCAGAGCTCAGCGTAGATAGATAGATATCTTTCATCAAAATAATCTATTGCAGAATGAAAATCAGTTCACGTTCTTAATGTGTGGCTTCAATAGATTAGAATCATTTCCTCTCACTGAGGTGAGGTTGAGGAAAACAACAATAAAGCAGTAGCTGAAAGTTGAATAAGCAGTAATTGCAAATTTAAATTGAATCCTATGCATGGAGTTGTTCCCTTTGCCACACTGATAACCTCTTTATCTCCAAAGACATCAAAACACAGAACACCTTCTTTTATATTACAAATCTGGGTTGACATTTAATGTAAGGTTTTATAACACAAAGCTTGAGATACTTCCTATTAAACTCATGCTAGAACTGAGGTGCACATTTCCAGCTGAATTACTCTGCATTGTGTTTATCCTTATAATTTGTTTTCTGATGAAGAAATGTGTGAACTAGCACAAGAGTACAATTGCATGTTAAGAGAGTTTAGTAATATGTGCTTTGCTTTTTGACTTCCATTATTCTAACTTTCTATTAACTACTTAGAAATCTGCAGATGTTGTAGCTGCTGTGTAATACTGTATCTTCTTTCAAATTGTACTGCTGTATGGCTTATGACTTGGTTAATTTGTTTCTTCCCCTTTTGTCTTGTAGCTTCATTTAGCAGCCCTGGCATCATTAAAGGGAGACATAGTGGAGCTTAATAAACGTCTACAACAAACAGAAAGAGAGCGTGACCTGCTAGAAAAGAAATTGGCAAAAGCACAGGTGAGCTAATAGTTCAAGATTTTGAAGATGATCCTTGGTTTTGTGTTGCTCTTGTTCCACATAGAGAAATATAGTATGTGGGGAAAGGATGAAATAATGTAATGTGTGAAAAGAATTTTATGACTGTAAGAAACATAGTTGCCAGGGGTTTTAAGTTTTATGTGCTGATGACATTCTTTTAAAAAATACCAAGAGAGAATTAGATTGATTTTGTTTTGAAGCCAACATAAACAACCTCTTTTAACGGTGAGTGCTTCAAAGCATTTTAGAAAATAAAAATTGCAATTCTCAGTGGATTAGGTAACTGATCACAGAGTCTTTCAGTCTTGGGCACGTTCAAATAGCACAAATTAACACTGATCAAAAGCTATTGCCGATTTGCAGTGATTTGGTGGTATGTGAAAAGCGATTAGTGATCTCAGTCTACCTTCTAGTAAGCCTGTTTGTATGTATCTGTTATGGAAAATACAGTCAGTGGAAAGTCAAGAGATTAAATGGGAGTAAGATTTGGGTTTTAATGCCTTCTCAGCTCTTAAAAAAAAAAATCAGATTAGGATAAACGTAGAGAGCCAGATGTAAACAGGGAAAACAACAACAATTATACTTTACAAACAAAACCCTTGTTTTCAGGTACTGCCATTCTGGCAAATACCTTCTGTAAGTACTTTACAATTCAAAACTAATGCAAAATACATACTAATTCACACTAGCGGAGAGCCAGACAAAGCATTTTCTACTGTAAATTATCCCATCTTATTTGTTGCCCAGAGAGGCTGCAGAATCCCCATCCCTGGAAGTGCTCACAAGCCATCTGGAGGTCTCGGGCAGCCTGCTGTGAGTGACCCACCATCAGTGGGTGGGGTTGGAGAGGTGACCTCCAGAGGTCCCTGTCAACCTCAACCATTCTGAGTTTCTGCAAGTTTAGCCTTCAGTATTCAGGACATTTTGGTAGGGGCTTATATCTATGTGTTACTTAAACTCCAGCCAAATGTAGAAATATTCAAGCAGTCTGAGTTTTAAAGATTTTACTTCAGTTCTTCAAACACAAAATCATGGAATCATTAAGGTTGGAAAAGGCCTCCAACCTTAAAAAAGTTATGGACCAACCTGGTCCAACCATGCTCCTACCACCAATGTCACCCACTAAACCATGTCCCTAAGCACCAGGTCCAACCTTTCCTTGAACACCTCCAGGGACGGTGATGCCATCACTTCCCTGGGCAACCCATTCTAGTGTGGATCCTTGTCTGCATTCCCTGATTATTTCTCAGTTACCTTCAAGGTTTTGAGGCTTGTAAACAAGACCCTTATTCCATCCCATCAGTGCAACATACACAAGTAAAAAACACTCTCATCCCCTTTATTCCTTTTATCTATGAGCCAAAGTCACACACACCATTTACCAGCTATTGTCTTGAGATCCTTTCCTAACTTCAGCTGCTCTCTGAGGTAGAGTCCTCTTTCTGAGGTACAGCTTGACATGATGCTGCATTTGGTAGTCGTTAATCAGTCAAATGGGTCCACCTTACCTAAGCAATCTTTATCATTCTGCATGGCTACGCTGACTTTGTTGTTATTTATAACTCTACAGAGTCTTGTGCTAACTGGTTTTGTTAGGTTCAGGTCTTTATGAAAAAACGTGTATAAAAATTTCAACAAATGAAGAGTACCTTGTAGGTACCCTCCTTCCCTCAGAGGGTGGTGAGGCCCTGGCACAGGCTGCCCAGAGAAGCTGTGGATGCCCCATCCCTGGAGGTGTTCAAGATCAGGTTGGATGAGGCCCTGAGCATGCCTTCCCATGGCAGGGGGGTTGGAACTGGTTGATCTTTGAGGTCCCCTCCAACCCGAGCCATGCTGTGATTCTAGGTGCTCCCATGCAATGATTAATCCTCTTTGATGGTTAACTGTGCTCTGTTAGCATGAGATTGCTTGGTGTTTTCCTTTGATTGGTTACTAACTGTGCATGCATGTATTGAGAAATGACAAGGACATCTGGGATGTCTAAAAGGTGCTCTGTAATGCTACATTTGTGGCTGCTGACAGACATTGTCACAGTTGTGTTTTGGAAAAAAAAAAAACACTTAAATAATTTTTATATAGTTTTAAATGTTTTAGCATTTCACTTCTATCCACTTGAGGGCTTTAAAAGAAATTCAAGCATGGCAAAGTTTGAAATGTTCATTTTTTACATAGTCATTTTAAACAGTTATTTAAATAGTCTTTAAAAAGTTATTCATCAAGGGCAGCTTATATATTCAATAAGTTGGCTATGTTTAAGTGCTGAGAGACTCTGATGGCCCACTTTACCTTTTCTTCTTTTTCTAACTGCATCACTTTTTCAAGTAGATGCTCTACATAACTTTTTTTTTTTTCTCTTATCCTCCTAACCCACAGAGATTTCTCCATATTCATATCATATGTGTCATTTTCTCCCCTATAACCTCTGGCTGATGCATTTCTTCCTCACTAATATAAATTAGAGGTTCAGAAGGCATAAATTAGGTAAGAAGTGTTTGAGGTTCTGCATAACTATTTTCAGGAGCTAGCTGTGCTAGCATTAAAATCTCACTTCTGCACCTGGGCTATACTTATGAAAGCAAAGCATTTCATTTCAGCTGGCATTCTAAATGCATGTTAAATGATACAAACGGTTCTTGAACCACATTTTTGGTAATATCTTTCCCGTTGTTTCATGGAGCAAATGAAATGCTTTGAAAGAAAGGATTAATGATTTGCAGAAGGGAGATGATTTGGGGAGCCACAATTCATGTAATAGAGATGAGAAAGGGCTAAGAAAGATAGTTGGATAGCTTGTGCTTAAAATTTTTATAAAGGATGTAACTGATTAATGGTTGTTGTGGCATGGTAGAGCTCATTTCCAAACCTGCAGTCTGTGGAGACCCTGCTAGAGCATTTGTCTACACCCTTGTATTATTTCCACAAGACAACAGACCTCCTTGCATCTGTATTTGTACTGGTGTGCAATTTGGTGCCAGACTGATCTTCTGGATGGAATTTGCTGTAAAGCAGTGGTCAACCACAGCTAATCTCATCTCTCCAAATCTTACTGTGATTCTGAGAATAAAAGCAGTGCTTTTTGCTAGTGGTGTCTGTCCTGGTGTCCTGGCTCTGGTAGTGATAGAAAGTAGATGTCTGAAGGGAGGGCGCAAGAAATACATGTAGGGTTGCTGTTCTTTATGTGTCCTTGCCTTTCCACCATCAACAGCGTGTAAGCTTCCTGAGCAAGAGGCTGCATCACATGTAATAGTCCACTTCACCTCCACGAGCAATTTGTATCTTAATCCAGAAGTTTTCTTCCTTTTGCTCTTCCTTTTCCCCTTCCCTGTCCCACTGCGATTATTTGGTGCCTCGTTACGTACCACAGTTGATCTGTGACAGCTCTATGGTTTCATGGTAGAAGTATGGAATTGAGAAACACACTGACAGCTTCAGTAAATACAGCAACAACAAACAATTCACTTACTACACCTCACTTGTCCTTTCATCTTCTTTCACAAGGTAATTCTGTTCTCTTCACTCATTCCTGGTAATTTCAGACTTTCATAAGAGCTCTAGACACAGAGTAACAAATACTCTGCTGCTACATTCTGGATCCTTTGTCAGAGGAGCAGTCGGTTCCATGACTGCAGTTACAATTCCTTGCTATTATTCCAGTTATTCACAATATAGGATGGGCAGCAGAACTTCAGCATGTGAATAAATCTAACACGCTGTAGGCATGCACACTTCATGGGAAAAAATCAGTTTCTCAAAAAAATGATTCTGTTGTGTGATGTCTTCATCGCACGCGGATTAGCCTTGTTTTCATGTATTCTTTTTCCACCTTAAGTATACACTGAATAAACCACAAAATAATTAATTCTGACCATGTATGTATTCATGATTGAGGCCTTGGCACAGTGGACCTGTGTTTATACTTAAAATTAGATGAATTGATTGCCACTTTAATATCTGCCACTCCTCTTAAATTAAAGTGCCGTATTACTTGAGTAAAGATTTTTAGTTCCCGTGAGCCCGTTAGACAGGTTTGTCATTGTGGCTAATTCAGGTGATGACTTGTATTCTTCCTGAATGGTGCCGCAGCCAGTGTTTGTGTCTGTGCAGGGCCGGAGGCGCTCAGCAATCTCTTAGCCTAGCACCACTGCTGGTGCTTCTCTTTCTTTTTTTCTTTGTGTCCTCTGACTGAGCACTACCAGTTTAGCACAAAGGTCTGCACCGTGTCTTGGGTTGGAGATTTGTGTACATTAGTGGGTAGTAGCATCGTGTTGCAACAGTATCCTTGGATTTAAATATTTTCTCTTGTTATCCTTTTCTTGCATATTCTTCTCGCTCTTGTGGTTCTTTCCCAGCATCAAGAGGTCAGACAAAGGTCTTTCCAGGCATCGTTAATTTATTCCGTAATTGAAATAACCTTTTTTGTCTGTACCAAAAACCAGCCAAAGGTCACTTACATAGAAAATTGTGCTGGAAACTTTTCTCCTGACCTCAGCAATCACTCATTTTTTGCAGCCTCTTAGTGGATTATCCCTGTGTTTGTGTTCTCAGAGAATTAGAGCCCTTAATGTTTTGGTCAGGACTTAAGTATGAAGCTGGAAGAGGGATGAGGAAAAGGGTGTAAGGTATTTGTCTTAAAAAGTTTGTGATTGACGTATGCAAATAAATCATAATCTAAGAGAAATAGGAACTGGTGTGAGATCATTGTTCTGATACTCAAAAGACACAGAAACTAAAGAGTGATGAACAGACCGAGTATCACAGAAAGAAGAAAAAAAAAAAGTAATGGATACCAAGAGAGGCATTTGTTTCTTTTCCCTTTCAAGACTTGAGATAAATGTGCAATAATAAGGAGCAATACTGTATAACCATAAGAGTTTTACATTGCTGCATTTTGGGATTCATACTGGATTGTATTTCCATTACGTGGATGGAAACCCATTTTCAGTTGAGACTTGTCATGACTGACCACAATTTATTATACGTGACCCTGTACCCTCCTCCAAGGCACAGCGGTCCTTCTTAGCATCATGTCCGACCTCCCCCGAGGTTTCTTCCTGCCTTTTCAAGTTACTTTTGCCCAAGATAATCCAAGAGGCCTTTAAAAAAAAAAAAAATCAAATCTGAAACTACTGTCTTTATATTGCCAGACTGCTGGTTGTTCACAATGTATGTCATGTCACTAAATTACAGTTATCCTGAAAAATGGTGACTGTGAAATGGCTGGAAAAAACAGAAAGCAAGTCTGGTAATGTGGCTGAGGTCCATTAGCAGGAGTCCATATATCTTCAGTCAAGATAAACAAATTCTGCTTTTCAGTGCAGAGCTTAAAAAGATAAAAAATGTTGTGATAAGCATTTTATTTATTGTCTGAAAATAATTATTACACACTCTATCCAAAACATCCTTTGGTTTAAAAGGAAAAAAAACAGTGATTCACTGTTCTGGAAAATGCTTAACTAGTGTTTGTGGACTTCAGCATTTATCATGAAATGTGGATTTAGAAAGGAAGAACAAGCAACTCTGTATTGTACTTAAAAAGTTTTAATTTTTTGGTTAAACATTTTCGCTGTTACTGTTGCACTTTGAAAGCAGTTTTAGTAATTCATCCAGATACAGTGTTACAATATGGAAACATGAGAAATAAATTATTGAATGATCCTACAATAAGAGTTACAATAATATACATGTCAGTTGTCAGCATGAAGTCCTAAAAGCCTAGTGAACATTACCAGTCTTCTAAAATTTAACCCTTGCTTTCTTCTTCATCATGAAGACATACTCTGCTTGTCTTGGTGAAATTGCTTTTGATTCAAGATTCACAAAGAAAATAACATTTTCTTGTCATCTGTGGGAGGGTGCTCTAATGTCTGGAACTACAACCTTGCAATGTGCATATTCCCAAAAGTTAAAAAATATTGAAAGAAATTTTATTAAGGACTGTAAAGAAAAATGTTATTGAAGTTTGATTTGAAAAAATAAATTTTGGTGCAACAATGTTAGAAGACCTCATACACTACTATGAATTGTAGCCTTTAGAATTGCTTTTAGGACAATCTATTTCAGCTCTTCAATTAACAAATATGTTTTTTATACTGTCAGTTTGTTTGTGAGTTTTTCTCTTGTTTGTAGCACAGTACACATGCCATTGTGCTGTTTCCTGCAGGGGGTCAGAAGCAAAAGGTTAGAAGTATTGCTCTTTCCAGCCACTACAAAGCATAACTTCAATCAACATGCATTACTGAGAGGCCATAATTGCAGTAGAGTGTCTGCTGGCAAGAAGAGTAAGCCAGAGAGGCTGGAAATAATACTCAGTTGGAAAGAAAATGTAGTATTTCGTGATACATTTAAAAAACAACCAGAAGTACAGCCACTTAATTGTTTATAATAAGCATTTTATTATAGGGGATTTTAATAAGGAAAATGTGCAAAGGTACCTTAAAGGGTAATAAAAACAAATATTCTTACTGGAGAAGTCATAACCTCGAAGTGTGGTTGCTCTTATTTGTAATAATGTGGTTTCTGCCTTAGGATTTGTTCTAATTCACATATTCAGTGTTGGGAAGGCCTCTGAGGTTTCTTGATGCATCGTGAATCTCGTGGATTCAAAGCTGATATATCGGTAGCTGTTTTGAGTTAAAAACTATGTGTTTTTTTTTTCAAGCTAGAAGAGCAACTGTTCGATATGTTTAGAAAAAAATAATAATGAAAGTACACCGCATAGTTTTCTGTTTCCTAAAAATTTGCTAATTACATACCTTTCTGTACCTGTCAATATTTCACTTCTGTTCTTTTTTCTTGCTATGCGGTTTTGGTTTGATGGGTAAGAAGACCATACAATGCTGTGCACTTCTGCCTTACATTTGATTTCTGTGCAACTACTCATAAGACCCTTTCTGTTTTCTGCTTCTCTGCTTTAGTGTGAACAATCTCACCTAATGAGAGAGCACGAAGATGTGCAGGAGCGAACAACGCTACGCTATGAGGAGCGAATCACAGAGCTGCACAGTATCATTGCTGAATTAAATAAGAAGATTGATCGACTGCAGGGAACAACAATAAGGTAGGGAAAGTCCCTGGAAACTCTGGACTGCCTGCAAGAATGATGGAAAGCATGGTATGAATTACGCTGTAAGTATAAGTTGATCGCAACTTTGAGGTAGCTCAGCATGTTACAACTGGTGCTAAATAGCTGCCCATAATTAAGATGTGTGGAGTATCATCCAAGGCTCAAAAGTGCTTCATTCTCACTGGCAAAGTCACACTGCTCAGCCTAATGAGCACTGCAAAGAACTGCACTGTGCCATCTAAATATTCATTAGCTAAATATAAATAGCAAGAGACAAGGTAAGTGGATAAAAGAAGATGTAGCCAACCAATCTGCAGCTCAGCTTTTGACTTTCTTCTGTGGCATCCTATAGATAACATAAGCCAAATCACTTGTGATGAGAAATATGTCTCAAATGGAATTGAGTAATTTTGACATTTACTAGTAGTTGTGACAAAACACAGAATGATAATAGAATCATAGAATATCCCAAGTTGGAAGGGACCCACAAGGATCATCGAGTCCAACTCCTACAGATCATTCTCTTGGCTGTTCTTCAAGCAGCAAAGCTTGGTCATCACTTGTTACTGTTTTAAAATAAACTTGCATTTGACTACAGAAGAATGGTTATTTTTCCTCACTTGGACTAAAGGAATGAAGGAGCTTGTTAAAAGATGAGCTTGGGGAAGGATGCAGGTAGACCACTAGAATCTATGGATTTTCTAGAAAACTTCCAATAATAATTGACACCTTTGTAGGTAAAACTTACATGATGCACGTAGCAAAATCTGAGTTCTGTGTAGCAAATTTTGAGTTTTTCCTGCTCATTAGCTACATGTTTTGTGATACTTGTTTCATTTGGTTTTCCTTGCTGTTAGCACAAGGCATGGTTGTTACAATTGCTCATTTAACCTCTTATGAAAAAATGTTTCTGAAAAAAAAAAAAAAGGTGTACCATAAATAAGAAAAAGTATCATCATGCATATACTTTTATAAAAGCAGTAGTAGAATGATGTGATGTTAATATTATTTAAGAAGATAAATACTGGAAACTCTGTGGTGGTTGTAACTGGTGATAATCATGGTGAGATTTTTCAAGTAAGGATTTTCTAAACTGATGGTACATCTCTGAAAAAAATCTCATTGACTCCCCTGTTCATACAGACTTGATACCTCTGTATGCAAAATTTCCATTCACCTTGTTTTGCATTTGCTTTTTAGTATGGGACTGACTGCCCACTTAACCTTCCTCTCTGGTAAAACTTCACCAATTGCAAAGGCTGATTGAAAAATGAAATCTGAGAAGTATGAGAGCTGAATTGGCCTTTTTTTTTTCTTGAATAGCAGGAAAAACTCTGAGAGAATTAAAAAGATCATACATAGAAGCCATGAGAGGTTTTTGATTGGAGTCTCTGTGGTAAGCTAAAGGCCAAATTACATATTGATTGCAAAGTATTAGGACTGGGTGGATACTGTGAGTTTTTATCCGTGGCATAAGCAAGGGAGCTATGGCATGCACAGGAAAGTGAGGCATAGGAGCTGCCTTTGATACATAGTGCAGGCTGCTTCTCCTGAGAAGTGCAGTTGCTGCCCCTCTGGGGAGCAGACATTCGAAGGCATCAGAAAAATACTGCTGCAGCAAATATTGAACTGCTGTCATGCCCCACCTGTTTGGTCTCACCATATGAAAGCTCCTTTGTTCAGACAGCTAGGAGGCCACCTGTTTTGATTTTTTTCTTGTTTTACTAGCAAGAATAAATGTATTTTTGAAGTTAGTGGTTTTTATTTATTTTAAAGATTGCAGTGACTTGTTCTCCTTGGCTGGCCAGTAGCTTAGTGTTTGGGGAACAGAGGAGGAATATTTCTCCTAAAATGGCAAGCAGAGGTAGAGTTGGAGAGACGTCATACAGTTTGTAACAACAGCTGAAAGGAGCAAAACTAACACTTCCTACTGTGACTTTCTGTAAATTCACCGTGGGATCCTCCTTGCATCACCCTGTAGAAGCTGTTCCATCCCACAGAGCAAGGGTGGTGTAATTGCCGTCGCTGCTGGGACAGGTGTGACTCACAGCACTCCACCCTTGGCCCTCGGTAGTGTGAGCCCCAGAGCTGGAACAACACGGCTGCTCCTGGCCCTTGGCACTTACACTCTCTTGCTAAATCACAAAATGCAGGAGGGACTTTAGTTCTGAGATCTTTGTATGACACTAGGACACCTGCAGGTACTACTGAGAGGAGGCTTTGGTTCTGATATCACAAGATTTAGGGTTTCTAAAAGCAGTTTCTTGAGTTAACCATAACTGCAGAACAGTGCAGATAAAAGTCACTCCCGTGCTAACACAGAGATTATTCAGTATTTCCCTGCATTGTTTTTAGGATGCAAATATAAACTAACATGTAGCTTGGTGTACTGCTGCTTTATGACATTCTTAATGGCTCTTTTCAATAAACAAAAGTATTCTGGAACTGATTAGAAGATAACAGAGTTTCATGGAGAGTATTCAACTATCCTCCTGAAGTTCTGGTATCTAAAAATTTGTAATTGTTGTTCTGAATGTGAATAATACTCTCAGAAAGTAGGTAGAAGGTAAACAGAACTGAGTGTTTTAAGTCTGAATGAGGTATTGCAACAGTCTCAGGACTGCTGTAATGCTGTATAAATTGGTTAGTAGTTTCCATTCAGAGATACTCTTTCCCTCTCCTTTTTCCTTTACAGCCCCCCTCATTTTTTTCCCCTTTCAATGTCTAGGTGTTTCACTTAGCTTGTAGTGTAATGCCTCTTGCTCACATGGTTTAAAAGCTTAAGGTGCCTGTGCATCTTCCCAGGTATATTTGATGTGCTGATCTTAGTAGCAATAACCTTGTGTGAGTGTTTTTAATAAGTTTCCAGGGTTGTTCTAGGTTTGTTAGCCATTTTTTGGTACAGCGCGTTCCATGTGTGTGGTCACATTAAATTAGTTGCTGCTTTTGCACTACATTCTTCCAGCATTCCTAACAAAAATGAGGTCACTGTGGCTGTGGGAGCAAGCCAGCATTCATCTGCAGTTGTCTCATCTCCCTGCTGCTGCTCTGGACAGCTCAGCTGGCTTAGTAGCCCAGCTTCATTTAAAAAAAAAAAATAAAGTTGTTTCACAGCTGTAACTGATTTCGTATTAAAGCTAAAAGAGAGGTGACTATACTTACACCGTGCATGTAGAAAAACCTCTTGCTTGCCTGGTTCGTAATGTCTGCCTCTGCAGAATTTACCCACTATCTGCTCAAGAAGCTGGGGGCAAAAGAACAGTCAAGAAGCGGTCAGCTGGCATGAGCATGCTTTTTTGTTTGAGCACTCTGGAGACCTAGGCCTTGGCTCTGTTTGTTCTTGGAAAATTACAACTGGGTGACAGTGTCTCACTGTACTTGTCTATGCTATTAGGAAGAGAGTAGGAGGATGTGGCTAGCATATTCTTTAAGATTGTTTTCAACCTTAAGTCACAGGCTTTGCTAGTGCTCAGAGGAAGACTGCTGCGTGGAAGAGGGAAGGTGCTGAGCATGTTTAGTCAGCTTCTTTCAAGGTCCGTATCTTTCACTGAGCAGTGCTAGGTTGGAACTCCTGTTAGAGGTCAGCTGGGTGCAGGTAGCGGTGTTACCTCTGCTTCTGCTGTTTCAGGTTGCACAAGAATGTTTTTACATTCATTGTTTTCCTGTCCTTTGACAAGGTGTACATGCTTACTTGCTTTTTCTCTCAAGGTGTGTACAACTTACAAGATAGCAAAGCCAATCAAATGAGTCTTTCCAGTTTCAGAGTCATATTTTAAATGTTGGGATATAAAGGATGCACCCTGATAACTCTGAAACACAGAAAGGATTTACAAATTATGCAGTAGTGTACTAATATGGAATTAAGTCTACATTAAAGGTGAATATTTCCTGACTTAACAAGTTTTTGAGTATTACCTTATATTCATTCAAACTCATCTCTTTTTTCCTTAATCCTGAATTTGACTAGGAGAATCATCTGTAATCCAGTTATGCAGAACTAATGTTGGCCTATGACTGACAGTCGTCCTTCGATGTCCCCTTGAAAGTCAGAAAAAAAGAAGAAAGTGCAGAGATCAACTTGCTTTTAGTTCTAAGCTAGTGACTGGATTCATCTGTGCAACTCTTAAACATAATAGTCTGTATGAAACAGACAAACACTCTTTGGTTTATTGGTGCCTGCTGAAGGTTATTTGAAACAATCTTTAAGAAGTTTGTAACCCATTGCTGGAAAACCATTAGCTCAGGCTATAGCTTTTAATGTGAAATAAAACATATTCAGAAAGTTGTTTGTCTTGGAGTTAATGAGGAAGGAGAATGAGTGGACTACAGCGTCGCAGGAAATAGCAAAAGGCACTCAGTCATATCTACACAATGACCTAGACGTGTGATTCTTGCTTCTAAAATGTGCTAGGTGGAAGCTACGGAGACTCAATACAAATTGAATCATAGAACCACAGGATTGTAGCATGGTTTGGGATGGAGGGGACTTCCAAGACCACCCAGCTCCAACACCCCCTGCCATGGGCAGGGACAGCTCCCTCCAGACCAGGTTGCCCAAAGCCCCATCCAGCCTGGCCTTGAGCACCTCCAGGGATGGGGCATCCACAGTTGCTCTGGGCAGCCTGTGCCAGGGCCTCACCACCCTCCGAGTACAGAATTTCTTCCTTATTTCTAATCTAAACCTACCCTCTTTTAGTTTGAAGCCATTCCCCCTTGTCCCATCACCACACCCCCTGACACAGAGTCCCTCCCCAGCTTTCCTGTGGGCTTCCTTTAGGTACTGTGAGGCTGCTGTAAGGTCTCCCTGGAGCCTTCTCTTCTCCAGGCTGAAATAGCAATGCATGTACCATAGCTCCAGCCCCACCTGCCTTGAGTGATTGACTCCCACGTTGTCTCAAGTGTCTTGCTCTTTGTTTACATGTGAACTAGTTCAGACAGACCTTGAGTGTGTATACACAGGGAGTAGCCAATCTCTGGGTTGCAGTGCTCATACACCTGTAGTATTTTCTATGTGAGGGTCCTAGAATGCTTTAAAAATATTTGTTCAGTAAAATGATTGTAAAAAAAACCTGCTGGCACCTGAAGTGTGAAACTGTCCAGTGTTTGCAGCTGTGACAAGAATGTGCACCTTACCAGGGCTGTGGCAGAATTCTGCAGCGGTGTGAAAAGATGCTGAAAATATGATTTTTCACACATCTGATATTTGTTCAACTTTTTCTCTACAGTTGTAAAGTAGTTGTGATCCTTGGTTTCACCTAATGTGAGGAAAGAAGTAAGTTAAGGTGTACCTGTAAAAGACACTTTTTTGTTCCAGCATTGAACACAGGCTGCTCTGTGCTCAGGACAGTTTGGTCTGGTCTTAGTTGTCTCCAGCTCACCATGGCATTTCAGCAGCAGGGCACCTTCAAGGCAGACAACAAATACACACTTACTCCAGCAAGGCCCTAGCTGATGGCAGCAGGAAAAGAAGCAAGAAGGTTCCCATGAAAACTCCACCTCTTGTGGGTGGTGGTGCAGGAGTTCAGTGGGTAGTCAGCAACTGTGAAAAGCTTTGTATTTCCAGTGCCTGTCCTGGAGGAAGGGGAATCTCACACAGTCTTCTGTTACTGACAACTTCAGTTTTAAACACTTCTGTTTGCGGTACTTCTTTGTCCTCAAATTCCCCCTTGCATTTTTAGTCCTCAGTCTGCAGCGTGCAAGGCTGGTGGTGGAGACAGCAACTGACCTTGCTGTTGCTTTACCAGAGATGGACTTCTGATCTTGCTGGTGAGGTCTTAGAAGCACAAACTCATTAAAAAACTGGCTTGTGACCTGTGTCCTCAGAAAGGTGTGAGTCCTGCCACATGACATACCTTTCAAGTGCCCCAAGATACTGAGGGTGTTTTAAACTGTCGGGGGGGGGGGGGGGGGGGGGGGGAAGGGAAAAAAAAAAAAAAAAAACACACTAGGGCTAGCTAGACAAAGCTATGTTGGATTTTAAACAGGAAGTCTAAGCAATGAGAGCTAAAATGAGAGTGGTGAGAAATTATTATTGTTCATGTACAGCAGGCATTGTTTTATGATCAGTACAGCCTTTTATCTATTTATAGAGGCAATTCAGGTTTTAAAATGTAGGAATAATTGTAGAGAAGGCTGACATAAGTGAAAAAAATGAATTATGTTCAAATCAAAAAAATGCAACTGTTTGAGTATGTGGTAATTGGTTTTTGTCTAAAGCTAGTTATTGTTGGCCTCTGCTTTGGCTAATAATAAACTTATTCATGGAACATTAACTCACACTTATGTGTCTTCATTACACTGTTTTAATTCCTACTATTCATGATTTAGTTTTCACACTTTCTTAAACATGTATTGCGTAGTACCTAAAAGACTTTTCTTTGATCTAAATCTTAACTTTAACCAGCTGACCTGCATTTTTGTTTAATAGGTGCTTCTGATAACGTCTGATTTTATTTTTTTTTTGAACTGAAGCAAATGTTAGAGGTAGAAGAGCATACTCACTGCTGTAATAATTACATCTCAGTACCTTAGAAAACACTGCTTGGCAAGCAAGCTGGAATGTGTTTTTTGAGTTGGCCTGATTCATAAATTGTCATCTCTGCTACTTTGAGAGCAGAGCTTTTTTTCTGTTAGTGTTCCATGGGCTATCTTCTCTGCTATTCTCCCTGGCAAATCCTGACAAACCTCCAGGGGAAATCCTGCAATATTTCTGCACCAAACACTCATCACCATGTAGCATACACACAGAAATCTTACAGAACAGATGCCCCTCCCAGATGCAGATCCTGAGATAGCTCTTTGGATTTGGAACCAAAATGAAATAGCAGACAGTTCTATTCTCATGCTGTGTTTCTTATCCACTGTTCGGCTGAAACTGCAGCAGAATAAATCTCTGCATTTGATTTAAAGGGTAACAAAATGATGGCTGTTTGCCCACTTGTCAGAGGGGCTCTGCACCAGGGTAAACTGGTGTTTGTCTCATGTTTAAACTATACACTTTAACGTCAAAACAATCACTACAGATTTTTTTAGTCCAATCAGCAAGTGGATCAAAAGCAAAAATGTTCACAAATGTTCTCAGGCGAAGCTATTATTCATTTACTTATCTTCTTTCCCAGTCCTTTGAACTCTTCATGTGGAGACAGGAGGGAAAAACCTAATTTTTAAGCTTATTAGCTTTAGCTGAAGTCTTCTGTGTCCTAAATGATTTTGGTAGAACCAGCTTGACAAATAACTTAAAACCTAGGTAATTGAGACTTTTTGTTTTCCAGCAACTCCAGCAGTTCAGTTTTGTACTCACTTATCTGTTCTCTTCCTTTTGAGAAGAGGAAATAAACACCTACCTGTCCCCATGAGAATTCAGTATGCATATTCAGGAATGTGCATGTATACGCTTGCTTTGCATAAGCTGATGGTGTCCTCAAACAGAGGAGGAGACCAAAATCAGTTACTGCCAGTCCACTTTGGGATCAAAAAGCCACTTGAGCTTGTTAAAAATGGTCAGCTGTTGAGTTATGGCAGAGCAGTCTGAGTCCTTGCACATGTTCTTACTTGCACTCAGTTCCACTCCTTGTTTCATTGTATGGTGTTCTGGAGTAATAAAGAAAAGGGAGTAAAGAAATGGAAACTAGACATTAGCTGCTACAAGCCTGTGTTACAGGTACAGCAGGGTGAAAGCTGCTTTGCAGGTATAAACCTTTCACTAATGGCTGGACAAAATGCCATTAAATTTCTGTGGATTGTATCCTGTGGCTCAGTTTACAGGTATAAATAAGTGTCACAGAGATGCATATCTCCTCAGAGGGTTTTATTTCTGCCTTTGCTCTTGCATGCAGGGAGGAAGATGAGTATTCAGAGCTGCGGTCAGAGCTCAGCCAAAGCCAGCATGAAGTTAACGAAGACTCACGCAGCATGGACCAGAATTCTGTTTCTGTACCAGAGAATCAGTCCACCATGGTCACTGCAGACATGGGTGAGTGATGCTTCTTAGGAGACACAGAATCACGGAACCATACAGGATCCTGAGTTGGAAGGGTCCCACAAGGATCATCTAGTCTAACTCCTGGCTCCACACAGCACCACGCAAAAACTCAAACCCATATTTCTGAGAGTGTTGTCCAAATGCTTCATTGAACTCCAGCAGCTCGGTGCAGTGACCACCACCCTGGGGAGCCTGTCCCAGTGCCCGACCACCGTCTGGGTGCAGACCCTTTGCCTAACCCCCAGCCTGACCCTCCCCTGTCCCAGCTCCATGCCGTTCCCTCGGGTCCTGTCGCTGTCCCCAGAGAGCAGAGCTCAGCGCTTGCCCCTCTGCTCCCCTTGTGAGGGAGCTGCAGGCCACCATGAGGCCTCCCCTCAGCCTGCTCTGCTCTGGGCTGGACAAACCAAGGGATCTCAGCCGCCCCTCAGACGTCTTGCCCGCCCTTCACTGTCTTTATAGTCCTCCTTTGGACCCTCTCCAGTAGTTTTATGTCCTTCTTGTACTGTAGCACCTCACACTGCACACAGTGCTCGAGGTGAGGCCGCACCAGCTCAGAGCAGAGTGGGACAATCCCTTCCCTTGACCGGCTAGCCATGCCTGTCACTGCTGACTCACAACTTGCGTGTCTACCAGAAACCCCAGATCCCCTTCCACAGGGCTAATCTCCAGCCTCTTGTCCCCCAGTCTGTATGTGTATGTACAGCCAGGGTTGCCCCAGCACAGCTGCAGAATGTGGCACTTGCTCTTGTTGAACTTTATGCAGTTGGTAATTGTCCAGTCCTCTAGTTTGTCAAGATCTCAGTGGTGCCTTCTCATAGCAGAATGACATCCTTGTAGGAGAAGTACATTATAGCCTGCGAAATGCCAATCAAAACATTTGTTGAGTAAATAAATAAATCAAGGCTGTGTTAATCAAAGCAAATGCTGGAACTTCTCCATGACTATGAGCTTATACTTGAAACAACCTCTGTGCCTTTATGTAGAACAGCTACAGAGTCTCAAATGGAGCAGTCTGTTCAAGAGAGCTCATGACTCTTAGGAAAGAAGAGGAAAGATCTTCCTTTTCTTCCCTGGGTAAACCATATTGGTGCATGAGAGCTTCAATGGATGACAGTGTACACAAGCAATTATTTTAGGAAATAATTGAAAACAGCAGTTTTAAGTCTTCTTGCAGAACTTGGTGAACCATAAACATCAAGCTATTAATTCTACAAGGAGCTTTTTTGTTATGTAACATACAATATTTTGCTTCAATACATAGGACACTGTAGTAAAAGAGTTTCCAATTGCTTGGAGCAGTGCAATTTATTATTGAGAACTTCAGTACCTTTTAGAAGAATTGACTGAGAACAGCCTGACTTTTGGGCACACTATTTATTGCCCACAAGTGGAGGTTAATGACATGTTGATATTGTAAGCAACCATATGCAAGAGATTTTCTGTATGACTTCTTAAATTGCACTGAATGCACCAGCTCCTGAACTGTACTTGTTCATAAATGGAACACCTGCCACAGCACATTCGTATCGCAGTGTCTTGAATTTCTCGAAACATTTCTTTTACTTTTTTGAACCACAAATATCAAACTAATTTAGTACTCAGCATTTATTTTGCTGAAATATTTGGGTGAGAGCTTTGGTTTTGTTCCTCATGGGAAGGAACTGAAGTTGTACATTAATGGCAAGATGTCTTTTTAAGTTTCTCCTAACAGTGGGAAATATGGAAATAAAATGAAATACAGCAGTGCACAAAATAAGAACATTAACTAGGCATTCCTATGTTTTTCCATGTTATCCTTCTGTGCATACACTTTGTCCGTTCCAGGTTTTGTTTCACTATTCCTTTGAAAATAAATCCTTTTTGTATGTGCATGCATGCAAATATATATATATATTATCCTTATATTTTAGAATCATAGTTTCATAACTAATAACTGTGCATAACCTTGCTTACTGACCTAACAGAATGAGCATCAGTGACTTAATAAAAAATGTAATATGTCATGATACACTAATGTATTTGGATATGTTGCTCAGTTGCTACAGGCAATCCAACAGTGAGAGCTAAGACTATGAATGTTTCTCAGTATGTCTTGCAGAGCTTGTGATCAGGTTGTTCTGATTTCCTGGGTAATGGAGGTCTCTCATTATTGTAATCCCTTGTCTTCTGGGGAAAAAATGTTACTGTAGGAGCAAAAACGAGCATACAAGGCCTTCTGTGATCATTGTTTGTTCAAATGACAAAATGTTTTATGTAAGATGTAAGGGAAACAAAGGAATTCAATAGCTATTCAAAAATAGATATTTTTACAATTAAACATCCTGCATGGTATATGCCACTCATAAATATGTGTTACTACTGGGATTTTTGGTATTCTTAAAACAGACAGGTGACTGTTAGTCTGAAACTAGTAAATATGACTTCAGGAGTAGAGTTTTGCTTGCATGTTGCCCGTTCCTATTTATTATATGATACTGTGATGAGTTCATTATACACTCTTTTCATGTGGTCAGCAGTAGGTTCATGTTTATATGCATTATGCTGTGGATGTATATTTTTTGTAACGAGTTTACAGTTTTTAATTTCATCTCATCCTTTCATCTGACCTCTTTTAGTCTTCTCTTGTGTGAAGATTTTTTAAGGCAGTCTAAAATAATCTGATGTCTCCAGTCTATTAAAGTTCAGATATAGTCCAGTACCAGACTCCTTTATGCTCCATTAAGCACACCATCCATGAGTCTCATATTAGATTCTGACTGTGGCAGAATGCTTGGAGCAGTAGCGTAGAAATAGCACACTGCAGCAAGAGTGCCACTGTTTTTAATAAGGTATAGGAACTGGTGATGCACTGCTGTCACGTGGTGCACTATTCGTTATTGCAAGCTCTTAACCAGTAAGGCAGAAATACCAACCATCATGTTTGAGAGAGAGCCTAAGAGGAAATTTCACCATGTCTGCCATAGAAACTACTGCTATCCATCACCAGAATGTGAGCATCATAATGTCATTGAATGTACCATGCAGAAGACTTGTTGAACTCACAGAGAAAAACCTTTGAGGGTAATCAAATCATGATAGTAGGCCATGAATAGCAAAAAGAAGAACCAGAATAGAAGTGGCGTAATGTAACATTTAAGATTAAATTTTAAATTTGTAATTATAAATTTAGATTTTAAATTGTAAGTCTCAACATTTTGTCCTCTGAAAAAATGTTTTTGAACTGTGAGTGTACACTGTGGATAGGTAGGGGGAGTGTTACTTGTAAGATTGAAGGTAACTCTTGGTTTCTGTTGATGTAGTTATATATTGATCGGCTGGGGGGGGGAACATCAGATTATCAGGACATACTTTTAACAAAAGGAGCCTTAGCTGTTCTGCACTTCATGGATGAGAGTTTGTTCTTTAATTGAGTCACTTATTGTTGCAATGTAACATGCTTGTTTTGTTTTGTTTTGTTTTGTTCTAGATAACTGTAGTGACTTGAATTCAGAACTGCAAAGGGTGCTGACAGGTCTGGAAAATGTTGTCTGTGGGAGGAAGAAGAGCAGCTGCAGTTTATCGGTGGCAGAGGTGGACAGACACATTGAACAGCTCACTACTGCCAGTGAACATTGTGATTTAGCCATTAAGGTAACAGTAATATTAGGCTCTACATGTGTTGTGTGTATTACATGAGACATGGTAATATTCTGTAGAAATAGCACTTCTCAAATCAAAATGCATCACAGAAATCAACTCTAATTCATTTTATTTGTTGGATAGGTAGTAGTACACCTGCTCTACACTAAATTCTCTGAGGCACAGGAGGAGCTACTAATAGACTTTTGATCTCTAAACAGGAAAGTATCTGTCTTATATCCATTTCAGAGATAAGAGAAATTAGGACACTCATCAGTTAATTTACTTTCTGAAGGTTAATCCTGAAAGTAAGTTGTCACTTTTCGCAAGGTCACACAGATAGTTAATAACTGGTAACTGAAGGCACAGTATGCAATACTTGCTGAAATTTGGAGGTAAAATGCCATAAACTGTACTTAAGTTGTAACTTTGCTGCCTTAAAATATAAACTAATAATTTAAAACAAAACATGTTGTGGCATATTCATTTTAATGGGGAACAGATAGTTCAACTGATACTTGCATGTCTTGTTTTTATTATGCATATAACAGAATAATAAAAAGGAATGCCTGGTATGACACGTATTAGAGTACTTGCTACATATGGAGGAAGAGGTGAACAAGTTTATTGTGTTAGGTGGAAAAGACCAGCGACTCAGTTGTATCAGAACAATTATATTGACACTTTGCTCTTGAAGTGGGGAGATCTGTGACCACTCTGAACTGCTGAGATAGGCCTTTGGTGTGTAACTGGAAAAAGTCTCCTCTGCTCCTGGTGGTGCCTGAGGAGTATAATTGCCTATAAAGAAATCAATGCTGAGTAGCAGTTTGGAGAATGGGTATGTATGAGAGAGACAGACTGACTCCTGGATCTCTTGGGAATGGTCTTAAATCAGCTTATTTGAGTGTCTCAGAAGATTAGGATCAATACTTCGAATGTTACCCAGCATTTTCTGGAGTTTTAGGATTAAGTGTTCTCAGAAGTCTGTACTCAGAAAGAGAGAGATTGTGGATCTTGGAAAACGGATAGAAATTGGTCCATGTATAGTCCCCAGAGGTATCTGAAGTAAGAGGAGATGAGAACTGCCTCAGGAAGAGGATTCAGTTAAAAAGCCAAAACAGCTGCCATAAGCGTTCCTCTCAAGCTTTTTGTTTTAGGCACACTATTTACTGTTGATTCAAATTAACTGCAATGAAACTTTTATTGTTCTGAGTAACTGTTCACAGCTTCTTCCTGGTACAAAATGTAGTCTTTCTTTTTCACATAATCTCATAGCCATTTTTGGGCCATGGAAGGGCAACGCTTTTCCCCACTGTTTGTGCTGCAGAGCCTGCAATTGTTTGTGTTAGACAAGTGATAGCATGCAAAGGATGTTAACCTTTCAAGAAGATAAGACCGTCATGCTCAGATTGTGAGCTAGGGAAGCGTGTCACTGATGTTCTTATTATAGCAACACCAACATGTAGAGCCCCTGTCTGCAGCTACATCCATGGCTGCAGGTTGTTTCTCCTTTCCTGCTTCCTCAAATAGAGAACTGAGAGACTTTTAAAACAGATGGGATCATGAATGCAAAACTGGAACATTCTGTCATGTGCTTTGATGTTGTCTCTTCTCTTAATTGATGGGCTGTTGCCTTTAAATGTCTTGAGTCTTTTTGATTTAATAGTTAGATTTCATCGTTGTTGTTTTTTTTTAAGGCTGTTCTGCTAAATTTTCTTGTTTGTTTGTGCAAGTCATGTGGCCCTAGCTAGTTCACATGTTTCTGCCCCACAAAGAACAAGAAGACCTTGAAATGAGCAGATTGTCTGATAAACTGGACAGTTACACAGCTATCATTTGTTTTAGAAAATTTCCACAGAATATGCTGCTTAATGCTTCAGATGTTTTGAAGAGTAAATTCCTATCAGACCCAGAAGCAGGTACCAACTGCTAACAAACTAGTGATTCAAAAGGTTGTAAATATTTCTAAACAAAATCTACTTAAAACACGAAAACAGCTACCTGGGTTGAACTGAAAATCCACCTGTCTGGTAGGAGATGTCAATGGAAAAACTGCATCAAACAGGACATTCATAGTATGTCCTTATCCTCCTTCCTTCATAGATGCTTCCACCAAGTGCAGTTAGGAACATCTTGAGACAGAGATGTTTTCTTTGAATTTAATTGTCTTGAGTGTCATTCCCCTCTGTGTTTATTTCTGATGGTTTTTGGACCCATCTAAATTGTTGGCCTCCATAAATTCTGGTAGGAATAAGTTCTACCATTGAGTTTGGCCTTACAAAAAAGTGCTGTTTTTCTGCATCTTTTACACCTGATACTTGCTGTCTGATTCATCTAACATCATGTGCATAACACAACACCTCTTGTAAGAGTACTGATACAGAGAGTACTGATGACAGTGTCAGAGACAACACTGGAATTACCACAATATGACTTCCTGCCCTCTGCTCAGAGCATCATGTGTAATGCAGTCTCTGAAATCAGGCTGTAATTCAATCTATTAACTTAGATCTGAATTTATCTGCTGTGCAGCAACATGCCTGTTAAAACTGCTCTGAAATACTGCTTTGAAAAAAAAAAAAAAAAGCCCACACACGCTAGTTTAGGGAGCTTTATCCATGTACAATAGGTATCTTGCTGGTCATCAAACCAGGGAACAGTGGCAGTAGTTCAGTCAGCAAAAGGATATTGGTCACAGCAAAGTGAGGTAGCATGGAAGCAAGCAGAAAGGTCCCTCATTTTTTTTAAGGACTGTTGGGCAGCCTTTAGTATGGCTGTTAAGCCCATGCTGATGCTATCACTGCCTGAAGTTTGTAGTTGTGCAGGCAGCAATGGAGGGTGCAGGGAAGCAGCAGCAGCAGCCTCTCTATCTGATGATACCTCCATGGTCATGAGCCATTGCTGCTTCTTCACCTTTCAATGTTGTTCTCTGCTTATCACCCACAGTGGAACTCTGAGGAGGAGCAGAGGCTCAGAAAATTAAGGGATTCTCTAAGAGCATGGGGAATACGGAAGAAAGAGACAGCAGCAGAGCTTGGCATTAGTGGGTTGAGGGAACAACAGGGAAAGTGCATGAAAGAGGAGAGGAGGTTTGGGGGTGAAAGGGAGTGGAGAAGACAGCGACCAATAGGCACTCTTGAAAATAAAGCTGTCATCATAAAGAGAGAATGCTCCTGACATTACAAAGCTTTTCTTCATGTTGTAAGATTAATTGCCAGGCGCTTACTTAGAACTTGAACACCTCATCAAGTTGTTTTGAAACAGTTTTACCTTGTCTGAGACCTGTAGGTGCAAGTGGAATTAATATAAGGAAGGACTGTGGCATCTTTTGTCTTACAGAGATAATGCAGCACATTGTTCTGTAGAAAGTAAATCGAAGCTTACTACCAGATACATAAATAGAATTACAATTCAGATGCTCTGTCAACTGGATTTTATATTGATGACTCTAAATGTACAGCAGTTTTAGGAGGGAGAGAGGAAATATGATTTAAAAGAATAAACTGAACCTGACTGCAAAAATTTTGTCCCTGCTTTTTCCAGAGTCTAATCTTGAGTTGGTTGATGGAAGTAGGTTTTGTTTTCCTCTTGTATGAGTGTTTTTTCATTACCACTAAGGCATTTCGCTGTACCCAAGAAGTATTTAACATTAATGGATTGAAAACAATAAATGACCATCTTTTCATTATTATGGACAAATAATGATATGTCACTAATATGTCACCTTACTGTCACACTGCTGAAAATACTGAGAGTATTTCTTGCAGAAAAAACAGTGCTGTTTTCGGCTTGGCTTGTCCTTTTCAGCTGTACTCTAGTTGGACCTTTTATTCCCTCTCTAGTTAAGGACATAAACTTTTAGTCATTTTTGTTATATATAAAAATAAAATTCTTTTTGTATAAAACAACTAAATGGGCTATTTTTACCTTGGTATCTGACTTATTTATCTTACATATTACATTTAAAAGTACAGGTCTTAGCTGCGACATATTATTGGAATGTCCAATGAAGTGAAACTTCTAGGTTGCTTCTAATGTCATATGTTCGTTTATTTTCCATGTCTCTTGTTACCATGTAATACAGATTGATTTAAAAGAGATTCAAAAGCTCATAAGGAACAACTGGAGATTTTTTCAATTTCGCAAAGGTCCTGGATAAGTTAGTAAATTTAATGCAAGTATAGCATATGTTAACTGCATAATAGCGTAAGAACTGCTTAGAAGTAGTTACCTGAGTGTTAAGCAATTTTAAGTCATTGAATGATCAGTCTGACTTAAAGTTTATGCATGGCATTGTTGACTTGCTAGTGTTGTGTGCACGGGTCAGTTCCAGCCCGTGGAACTTTCTCCATCTCTTCTGCGTTGAATAGTGCCTATATGTCATAGTTATGAATGAGGGAATGGCATGGGGCATCCTAAAAGGCATGAAGTCCCACAGTAACCCAGCCTGTTTTAGACAGTAGGAGGGCTGTAACATCTTTGAGTATTGTGTAATTGTCTGCCAATGTCTGTTTTATTTCTCTGTGCCCTCCAGGAGAGAATATGTTCAGGGACATGGGAAAAAAGAGTCCTCTGCTCTGTACTCTGTTCCTTGCCCTTTGTGTGGAGTTGGTCTAGTGTTAAGAAAGGCTCCGTGCCCTTCACATGCAACCACAGGGTATGGACATGCTGCTGCTTTCCGCCTGTTAACCAGGCAGGGAAGCAACAAGCACAGTGCTTACCTGTAGCAAGTAGTCATTAATTTGTTTTAAAATGTTTTGCGATGAAATTAACAGGGACTGCTGTCATTTGTGGGTATTACAAAAGTAATAGAGCCAGTTTGCGCCTAAAACATCCCTTGGCTTTGGTGTTGGTCAATACAAAATATTTTAATAAAATGATTGTTCCTAATACCAAACGAGAGGCAAACTAATGGTGTTGTGGGACTGGGTATATGCACATAATTATACAGCTGTTTGTTACACACTTCTGTGCTGTGTATCATTAGTCTTGTTCAATCACATTTGCTTCTTTCTCTTTTATGATGACTATTTTTTGCAGACAGTAGAAGAGATCGAGGGTGTACTGGGACGTGACCTTTATCCAAATTTGTCTGAAGAGAGATCTCGATGGGAAAAGGAGCTTGCTGGCTTGCGGGAAGAGAATGAGAGCCTCACTGCCATGCTGTGTAGCAAAGAGGAAGAGCTGAACAGGACCAAGGCCACCATGAACGCTATTCGTGAAGAGAGAGACAGATTGCGTAGAAGGGTAAGACCTTATGAGTGTCTGAATGCTGCACAGATGATCACTTCTTACAGGGGAAAACTAGTCTGTGCAATGTCGTCATCAGAGCAAGTGTCCCTTCCATCGTGCTTCCTCTACTGACTTAAGGATTTTCTGTTTTTAAAGCTGAGATATATAAATGACAGAGCTAGGACAAAACTGAACATTATTGAAGAAGAGTATGTGATGAATAGGCAAGGTGTACAACAATCTGGAGTCAGAAAGCATGTGCTAGCAGGAATTCTGATATTCATCTCCAGTGGAGCATATGTAACTCATCTATAGAGAAAGCAGATGTTCATTTAGTGAATTTTCCTGTGAGGCATGTTTTTTCCTGTAAACAACAAATATTGCTTTGTTTTTGATGGGAATTCAATTTGTGATTAGGAGAAAGAAAAAGAACAGGACTCCTGTCACTGGGTAATAATTCTCTGAACAGAACAATGCGTAGTACCAGCCATGTTCTGTTTCCCTGTCTAAGTTTTATGGTGCTGCTATTTCAGATAACAGCTTTGTGCTTTGTGCAAAGTCTTAAGTAAGAAACTGGAAGTTTGTTTACAGAAAAGAAAGATCAAGATAACGTGACCGTAACGTCCGTTACTTTTATAATGAGTTAACTTTGTCCCTGTTATATCTGCAGAGTTTTAGTGAGATATCAAATAATTTTGTTATTAAAATATGGCTGTTTAAAATTCATGCTTAGTTTGGGTAACAATTTAGACCACTGTACCTTGTCAAAATTACAGGAAGTGTTGCTCTTTACCTAGTGGCAGCAGAGCAAACCTTTATGCAAATACCATATTTCTGAAACAACATTGTTCTGTAGTGACTGTATCATTTTAGCATGAAGCTGCATTGTGTGAGACTTCAAATTTTCAGATACCAAGACACAAATTACCTTTGCAAAACTCTCTAGCTTCTCTTAATACTAAGTTACATAAAGCAAGACCGTTTCCAACTTTTTTGTAAAATGCATTTCTATTATATACCATAAGTGTAAGTACTTTTCAGTCCTGACATTTTTGGACTGATTTTAGACTGACACTTTTGAAATAGAAGCAGTACCACCTCGAGCTATGGAAGCTGTATTTATGCATATCGTCGGAGTTTTAGAGGGAGAGGGGAGAAAAGAACAGAAGTGTGTGCTTGTGAAATTTACTTAGAAAAATGCAGATACTGGTACTAGAGGTGATGTAGATCAGTATTGGGATATCATACAAGAAAAAAGTAGATGCCTCTGAGGATAGAATTAATAGAAAAAGAATTACATTTCAAGAAGTATGGAGTAGAAGTTCATGGGTTTAAAAGATTGATAATGAATTTATAATGACAACCAGGAGATCCTCAGTTAAAATAAATTTAAAAGGGAGGTGGGGAGGGGGTGTAGAATTGATGTTTGTACCCTCAGGGATCAGCATGTTAATGAGCCATTGATGCATGAAGGAAAGTGCAAACCTATGATGTACCAGATTAGATATTGCCAGTAGAGAATGGAAAGACTGCTGCACTTTGTGTGAAGAGTGGTAAGATCTGATCTGTAATATTTTATGTAGTTCTTATCTCTTACGCTTAAAAAGATTTAGTTTAAATTGACAAACAGATGTAGAAGATGGTCTTAAAAATGGTCAGCTTATTTGTAGAAGTGACTAAAAGATTGTGTTGTGTAACCTGGCTAAGCAAAATCTGAATTTGATTTCTCTTTTCAAGTGCTGGAGAAAGCAAGTAACAATGGGAGATAATGGCTGTTCAAGTTTAGGGACAGAAATGGAGCAAGAAAAAATGAATATAAACTATCCACAACTATGTTAGGCTACTAGGTAGAAATCAGACTATGATGTGTCTAACAGACAAGAGGATTGTGGTTCTGAAGAAAGAGTAAGGTTAGAGTAAGTAATTTGAAAATGCAGTTTGAAAATATTAAATATATGTTTGTATGATGAAACATATGACTGTATAGATGCCTGTCAAAGCCAGGACATTAGGAAGGTATCTAAAGAAAAACAAGACAAAACAAAAAATGCTTTTAATTTGCCTGATTAATACAACTGCTTTAATTCTAGTGTTAGGTTTAGTATCTGCACAAAACTGTAGTATTTTGTCTGTTTGTCATCAATAGCTGAGGACTGGATTAGATGAGGAAAAAATTGCTGCCTGGTTCTGTGTATGTTGATAATGCTTGAATTTGCCAGACTCTGCTCGCATTCCCAGTGACCCAAGCATGTGTGGAGCTACACAACTGCTGGCTATATTATGAAATTTGTGCACAATTTCTGTTGTAAAGGCAGTGACTCGGAATGAAAAGGTGGTGTGTTAATAGTGTTGATCTAGTAGTTGTTGGCCTGTCTTTTTGAGCTGTTAGCATGGATGCTGCAAGCGTTACTGATGTGTGTCTGCTGTGGAAGCATCTCTGGTGGACACAGAATAGAGACATCAACTTGCATCGTGTAATTGGCTAGCACAGTTGTCAGATGGTACCAGCGGGGTGACAGTACTGATCTGAATTGTGTTTGGACCACTGACCATGGAGATAATAAGTCTTCAGTTGCTCTGTAAAAAATTGAGAGCTGTGTGTAGAGTATACAACAAGTTTGTCTAAATGTTGGTTCTTTTTTCATTAAGAAAATTCTTCTTGCATAAATTGGATAGATACCTTGCAGTAACCTTTCAGTAGGTGAAGAATTAATGTTGGATTGGCACGTGCATAACAAAATCAAGCAGACTGTATTCAGGCCCAGCTGACAGGGTTTGTTTTTTGGTTTTTTTTTTTTGGTTGTTTTCATTTAGTTTGCACCTACAGAGGACTTTATTGAAATATGCTTTTTAATATCACCCTGAACTTGCAGAGCAACTGGTTTATTGCCCCCACTGGAGAAGTCTATGAGTCTATGGCGTAAGACTGTCAGCAACACTATGCGACTGTTGTACTGGAAACCATATTTGCATTTGTAATATAACTCTATGTCCGTAGTTGCAACAAAATAAATGTTTTCTTTGACCTATTGAATATTTTCTATATGCTACCTGAACTCAGAGTCACTTCAGATTATTTCCCTGGAGAGTAGAAAAGGAGATCCAACTAAAATTTAGTTATTGTTCTTCTCAAATTAAATTGGATGAAGCGAATAAGCTGAAGTTGGCCAGATCAATAGGTCTGTTACTTTAGACCAATGTCTGTAATCAGGCAGAGTGCTTTCAATACATTGTTCTCAGGCTTGTTGGAGATTTAATTTAATTAGGTATTTAATGTGCTCAGTTAACAGATTGTGCTGCTTTCTAGAGCAGTAGCTATGGAACAACATACATAAAGAGTTTGTTTCTCACAGGTCATTAGTAAATGAGGTAATCGCTTATTTCTGTAGGGTGCCTGCAGTGTAGCTAATTTCATAATACAGAGTTTTATTTTACCTCTGCATGATATTGCCATATTAAAAATAAAATTTATTTAGATATGGGCTGGTCTGTGCCCTGGAAGCTGCTTACCAGCACAAAATTTATCGAAGTTCTGATTCCAGTAATATAAATAAGATGCTGGGGAACTTCTGTACCAGCTCCTGGGATTAATATTAGAATAAAATTGGAATCAGAGTAGTGCTATTTACAACTGCTACATATAGTAACAGGCTTAAACGGTGGTAGAAGTAGTAGTTGTGCTTGTAGGCAAAATCCCCTGTATCCACCAGGTAAGTCAGATGAACTATACATATATAGTGTATATGGCATTTAACCTGTATCATGACTGCAGAATAGAAGCTTAATTTTCTTTTTAATGAGAAATAAGTAAATAAAGTTGCCAAATTAGTAGTGCCATGGTTCAGTACCCTGCAGCGTGTTGGCGTAAGAAGTGATAGGCATGGGCAATGCTTCCCTGAGGCTGCGAAGAACTAAGTCTAAAATGAGAAGGCAGTTTCAGCTCTGGATGTCTGTTAAGTCTATTCTCTGCATAAACCATATGTTGTCATTACAACTTAGTGTGCAGTTAATCAAATGCTTTCAGTTGTGATGCTTGTTTGTTTTTATCTGCTCCAAATTCACCAAACTAACCAGAAAAAAAAAAAAAAAAAAAAAAAAAAAGACAATATTTTATCTATCTTTTGACTTAAGACCTTAATGAAAATATAACCCACAGTAGTATAGAAAATTGCAATTTTAGTGTGTAATCTCTCCAGCTGCTGCCCAAACTGCCCCTGCTCCAAGAAACTGTTTTAATATGAGGGCTCTCCCAAGATACTTCATTCTTGCAAGCAGTTGAAACCTACCCAGACCACAGAACGAGTCAGATTCTTGGCCATGCAGGCATTCTTGAGCCCACACTGTTCTCAGATGACACAAAGCTGGCATGAGCAGCTCGACTCTCCTTCTTTTGGCATTGCTCACATTGGGATCAGAAGGCATTGCTCCAGATTGCTAAAGAACGCTGATATGTTGCGGGCTTTTAGAGGTTATTATGAGCTTGCACAGCTTAAAGTGATCCTTGAGCTGTTGGGTCGCCTTGTATCTTGCCAGAAACCTGCAGTAGCATCAGAAACCTATTTCCAATTCTCCACCTCCTTCAGTTGCATGGTATTTGTTTACACAGCAAGATCTCAGCTATTAGAGTGTGCAAGCTGTTCTTCTTTATCCATGCTTGTATGGAAACGCTCAGTGATTAATCTAAAAATAAATGAGGAAAAGAGATAGGTGTACTGCTCTCACTTGTGCTTGTTCCCACTGGATGCTAGCCTGGGTCAGAATGCTCCAGTTTGTGCCTGGAGCTTTCAGGATCCAGCCTTTGCACCCCGGGTCGCATCCTTGTATTTCCGTGCTTCACATCCCTCAGAGAGGTGCAGCACCCGGATCCTTTCCATGGATCAGCACGGAGCACAGCATGAGGGACTCCTGTAGAGCACCTGGTAACATGTCTGTGGAGCACTGTAAATGCTCCTGATACGTAAAACTCCTGTGTGTATTAACCTTGACAGCATACTTATTCTCCCATAGATGGTTAT